GGATCCTTTGGCTTCCTCCCGAGTATCGGCCAAGCCGTAGTGCTGTTTATGGGGGCATTGTTGCTTTCGGATATGCATCTGGAAGAGTTATGACCATGGAAATTACTTTGTGATATTTCCTTAAGCTCTCTTTAACCTCCTCCCCGCCCACCTACCTTACAGATAGTGTCTTTTATATACTACCTGAATAGCATGAGTGGCAACAGCCGATGAGTAATGTTTGATTAGAAATCAAAAGGCTTTAAAACCTCATTGGTGCTATTATTGAGAGTGTTTAAGAAATAGTGCCTCCCCAACCCGTCTCCTCAGAACAAGGCACTCGTGGCTTGCATCTCATGCCAAAATCCACGGCTTTCGAGATGATGACCAATCCGAATGCGGAGCAAGAGAGACGGTGGTACACGTCCTAGTGGACTGTCCGAATCTCAGAGAGTTACCACAACAGCTGCGGAAGAAGATAGGAGACGATTTCAACAGTATCACCGAAGTGCTTGGAGGGAGACCTGAAGACTAAGGAAGAACCAAGGGATGGGCAGTTCACAGCGATGTCCTAAACGCAGTGCTTGACTTTTTGGAAGCATCTAAGACGTTCACATCAAGGGCTCTAAGGCGGCCTCAAATCAGGGGTCGTGGACAGAGTATAGTAATCACCACTTCGTGCAAGAAGCAGTACAGTGCAAATTAGCTTAGGAAGGATAGACCTGATACCATAGTGGTAGCCTGCATATCCCACGGGAGAGGTCAGGGTAAATGAATCAATAACAACAATAACGACTGTACAGCGAAGACTCGAAGGAAAATAAATGACCTTGAGAACTCCCGGTATTTCCCTGCACTTTTGAAGGTCAAGTTCCCTAAATCTAATTATATGGAGTAAAAGATAGGCCCGTGTTCAACATTTAAATACATCATGCCTGGTCGAATGCTACTACGGTACGAATGTGGCAATAAAACCGTGCCGCCTGGGCCCCTGGAGGCAAAGTCGGGTGGGATTGGGTCAGTCAGCCATGGCACTTAGGTTTTTGATGGATTGGATGAGAGAGAGTCTTAGGGGCTAGGTCCCTTGCTGAGCCTCCTGGATAAATAACCTGTGAAATGCTCCTGAATTACCTGCGTTTTCTAAGGTAGGATAACCAAAACCTATTGTCGCACGCCTGCCGCAGAGACGACTGGTGATGATGGCACTGTACCTCCCCACGCTCTTGGGACTGGTACGGCTGTAGAAGGGAATAGAGTTAGCGGCGAGATCGAAATACGGCGAAAGGGGGGAGTCTTACCGGCCTTTGTGGCTCCGCCACTGGCTGAAGCTAATCTAATTGTATGCTGTACGGTCCGTCCCGTAGCAGGGCGTTATTTTGCTCAAGGTGCAGCCGGACCTGCTCCGGATCCGAGCATCGAATCGTCGGTTTCACATGGTCGCCGTCAGTCTGAGGGCTGGCCTGACACAACTTCTGGGTCGGGAAATATCGACGGAGACCGTCGATGATCTGGCGACCAAAGAGGAGCCACTGCCTTTCCCAGGGCAAATCGTAGAAAGAGGGTAGACGGGGCGAAGGCCACGAGGCCGAGTCTCGCGATGCAGCCATTGCTTCCTAATCCCCTGGCTGAGGGAATGGAATAAAATAGAGGTAAAGGGAAGAGAGGTGGAGGCCATCTGAAGAAAGAAGCCGAAGATGTAGCGTAACCAAATGATGATACTATAGGCAAAGTCGAAAGAGAGAGGTGGAAGATGTTTACTGTGAGCAATGAGCGGATTGACTGATCCGCCCCTTCTTTTATAATTCTCCCTTTCTAACACCATCAGCACTGAGGAATCTCCCTTAAACAGTTACTAAGCTCATTGGCCCTGCGCTAACACCTAGCTGCGGCGTGCCGCATGAGAACCATCGTCTGCTCTCAGCACGTTGTGGATAGCTGATCAAGAACTGAGTGGACGATAAGCCCTGACTTGCAAGTGGGCTTTGAGAACCGGCTTAACCGCCGAACATGACCAGGTCAACTCACAGAGAACTCTCGTATTTGGTTAGGGCGTTGGAAGACTCCGTGGATCCTTCGTGTTCCTTTATGCGAGCTGGAGTTCCAAGGACTCCTGCAACCTCCGAGTCGGACAGCTCGGCCAACCCGAGAGCGGTGGCAACGCATGAAGCGCCTAAAACCTGAAGGTCGAGATGTCCATGCTGTGTTCCATCGCCGTGGAGCAAGTTCATGCATTACGCACGAACACATCCGAGTTCCAGCTATATCCCAGGCTCGAGTCCGCGTGATGGGGTACGTTGCAAAGATAGCGAGCGACGATGACGGGGCAGTGCGTGTTCCTAGGGCGGCTGGAGCAACCGGTATCGAATGGTCAATCTCATTTGCTTGAGGAGCACCCGTCCAGCGAGAAGCGCACAAAGTCAGTCGGTCTTAACAAGCTGCTGGGCTAGATGGTGCGATGAAGGGGCCCTCTGCTATCAAAATGCGGCGGTTAAGGGCTATTATCTAATCCTCAAGTCTACTTCGATAATCAAGCAGTTCTGTACGAAATTGGCTGTTAGTAGGCGAAAAGGCGGTCTTGAAGTAGTAGCGGGTTACCAAACGGCACAGTAGCAAATGCAGGCCTCCTCACTCGCTTCCGGGAGAGCGCAATCCTAGAATCCCAGGGACAAACCGAGTTGGGTTCCGTACACCAAGTTAGAACGGAAGGGCTTAGTAAACCCTAATCCGGTCTGGTTTCGAGGAGCAGCTAACATAATCATATTGCCCCCAGACAAGGATCGATTGTACGGTGCCACACAAGGAGCCTAGCTCAAGGGTCACTTGCTGCATTTCCTTCACAGATGCAGAACCTCTCCCTTGGCCACACACGCATTGGGGCCTCTCTTCCTCTTTCGGTTTGCCGAGATAGTGCCCAGTGCGGAGCGTTGCTCGATGAATTGTGCCCGCTCGAAATCAATCAGCATCACTTTGCCGGTCTCCTCATTCCACAACATGTTGCGAAGCGCGAGATCATTATGAACGATCCCGAGGCTAGCGACCGCTCGGATTGAAGAGCGAACCAACCGAAGAATCCGTGGCCGGTTCTCGATAGCAAGGTGCGTGGATAGGAGCTCTCCACCGAAGCTCATGAGCATCATGTGATCAAGCTCCGCAATTCCCTCGTAGTAATAGGGAGTGCTCAGGTCGATGTTGCCCAAATAAACCGGCACAATGCCGCTGCCCTTAATCGGACGGAGGCCGTCGTAGAGGGTAGCCTCATGTTTTAGGCGGTGAGTGAAGTCGGTGGCTTTGGCGGCAATGGTATATCCGTGAGATCTGAGTCTGATGCGAAATGGGACGCCGCATGATCCAGGAGGGCCCTCGGGCATGCAGTCGGTATCAAGGACTTAGAGGTCCGAAACGAATACGAATAATATGAATAATATGAATAATATGAATAATTTGCGAATATGAATAAAGTCTTGGCGAATAATGTGAATATGAATACGCCTTATATTCATATTCACGATATTCATGAATATTCACGATATTCATGAATATTCATATTATTCATGAATATTCATATTATTCATGAATATTCATATTATTCATGAATATTTCACATAGATCTAGGCAAATAAAATTATAACATCTAAAGCCTCATTACTATAACATGTCAAGGAGTGCTTGGGACTGTTAATATAATAATCAAGGCGTAGATATACTGTCGATGTTCATTTGGTCAAAAGCTAATAGTCTGAATACATTAGATATATGACAAGTCGCCAAAGAAAGAAAGGAAAAATAAAAGGAAAGTAGATATCGTAGTATATCACTATCTTCGTAGTTCTCTATGCATTCCTAACGGCCATAAAGAGTCCTGAAATAGACTATCAATTAGGAAAGGATTCGTTATCATAGTGTCCCTTTAGGAGTACAAGCCATCTTATCGTCTCTGCATTCAGAGAGTGTCTCCTAAGACCTAGCACGTCTCGCGCACCACTAAAAAGACGTTCCACGCCTACCTTAGCAGAGGGAACCGGGAGATAGTCGCGTGCCGCTTGAGCCATGCAAGGAAAGTCAGGTGCATTTGCTTTCCACCATTTCAATACCCAGTCAGGGTCACCGTCCGCAAACGAGGGATGCGACTAGCTAGCCGGAGCAGAATCTAAGTATCGGTCGACGTCCGAGGCCTGCGTATATGGATATGGCTGAATCCGTTTAAGTGTCTTCTACAGTATCTCGGGCATACCTGATGGGCGTTCCGTCTCAACTGGTAGACTGGGGTAAAATGGATATTTTTGCTTGAAGAATTCGCGCACTTCGGAAACAATCAGCTTAGCACCCTCTTTGTTCATCTGTGCTTCGATCAGGGATATCTTAATACGCGGATCGAGGACGGCCGCCACGTAGTATAGGATATTATCGTCCATCATCTTCGTAAACTTATCCATCTTCCTCCTCGCTCTTCCTACCGCCTCTCTAAGGTTGACACCCACGTCTTCAAACCCGCCTTTCGCCGTTTGAACATCGTCCAGAAGGTTATCAAGGGCCTAATAGATTGGGAGGCAGTCTATAAGGCTCGGACAACTCCTTGAAACGTGGTTGGTATGCTCCCAAAACGGTTTTAGAATCCTCTCAATTTGCTCCAGGGTGGACCATTCTGCATCTATAAGATGTAGTGTTCTTACGTCGGGATGAGTGCGTATAAACTGTGTAAGCTCTCTTCGGAGTCGGATCGCCTCGGTTATCATGATATATGTTGAGTTCCATCGATTATCGACGTCGTAGTTAATTTGCTTGGTCGGAGAGACGAGCTTCCAATCTTGGCGGCGCTGTGGACTTCGGGCAATCCAGAGGACGAGAAGGCGGATCTTAGCAATAGCGCTTTTCTCCTCACTCGTGGTTAGGAGGGGCTGGTTCTTATGAAGTTCCAGTTCATCTAACGCTGCCTTAGCTTCCCTATTCGAACTCGATCCTAGAGTTACTAGAATTTCCTTGCAGACGAGATTAATAACATGAGCCAAACAACGAATGAAGCTTCTCCGGCCATGGAACCGCATTAGTGGCTTGAGGCCGAGGTCATCATCTGCATCCTCATATTCTTTCAGCAGCTCGGTATATAGAACATCATACAAGGTGCCGTTATTGCCAGCGTTGTCGCCCGTGATGGTTAGAACTTTCGGTGCGATATCCAGTTCGTGAATTATAGTAAGAAGGCAATCGGCCAGGTTTTGGCCCGAGTGAGGGCCCTGGATCTCCGCAAAGTCTAGGAGGACTTCTCGCTTTTCGAAGTCTGGGGTGATCTAATGGCCGATCATACCTAAGATCGGTAATTGATTCTCGGAGGTCCAAGCATCGAGCGACAGCGCAATAGAGTGGCAACTTTGTGCCAAGTCTTGCTTAAGCGCATTCCTGCTTATAGAGAACTCATTCTTGATTCGATTATAGAGAGTATCCGCACTCTTAACCGGAAGCTTAATATTGGCAGCTTCAAAGATTGTTTGAAATGAAGGATGCTCCACCACCGTGAATGGCTGCCGTGTCTGGACCACCCACTGAATCAATGCTTGCTCAATGCTTGGACTTGCCTTAGGAAGGCGGACGAATCGATCGAGGGAGGTCATCGACGTTGACGACTGGCTCGGCGAGTCGCGTTTTACCCTATGGCGGGTACGGAGGTGGGTAATGAGATTTGAGGTCGATCTATGGCGAGCAGAATCGGTCGAGGACCAACTACAACGCTTGCAAACGAATACTCGATCGTTCTTAGGAGGCTGGCCCCATGAAGTTTCGAGCACGTTAATCCAAAAGTGCTCTAAAGCCCAGCTAGTTTGTGACTTTGCTTTTCTGATCTGACGTCTGGCCAGAGTGGTTGACTCAGTCCTAGTCGACGGCTCAGAGCCTAGAGGCTGAGGTTGCGAAGAGCAGTGAACTTATGATACCGACTCAAAGGGTGTTAAGCTATCAGACATGACAGACTCGTATGATCTAGGGGACTCTTGAGGGTCGGACTCGAGTTTATTAGGAATATCCGGAGAAAGATCTAGGGGAGCAACATTCAATCCGTTGTTTAATGCCGCATAATCCCGGCGAGGGGCTTTTCGTGTACTTCGGGAGAAGTCGATGCTAGATTGAGCCATGCTATGTAGGAAATCACGCTCGTTGCCACGATCC